TAGGTATGGGTTAGTAATATGGGAAAATGAATAGAAATCTTCTATCAATTTTCTCTGCTATGTTGTGCTAGAGTGCCACTCAGAGGAGAGACTTGCCTTTATGTTTGTTAACAGACCAGTTGATCTTTTTAAGTGCTCTATATAAACACTTTCCATCCCCTCTATTAATGTTCCAGACAGATAAGTAAGGAGTACATCTGAGTGCTTCTGCGACAGCTATCTATTGCTTTCCCTTTGCACTAGCTGCTAAACCTGGCCAGCCTTAACAATTAGCCAGCCAATGCCTCTTCTCCATCTGTCACCGCCTCAATAATCACGTTTAGTGCCCAGTAGAGATTCATTGTGAATAAGAAACAACGGCAAATAACATAGGAAATGTAGATTATATAAAAATATATTTTACTATTTTACTTAAAAATGATCAGTAAGAACATACTGTTGAAAAAGCTCTGTAAATCACATTTTTAAGTGATCAGATGACAAATCTTGCTCTGCATAAACTCACACTCTCTATATATTACGGAAAAAGTTAAAGGCCTTTGTTTAACATGAAGATCTGGGATTAGAGGATCAATGAGATCCTTTATAGGTCTGTCATTTCATAATTCTAACATAGAAAAAGGATATTTTCTAGTGGAAAAGTATAGAAGAAGAGGAAAGCGCATGTCCCAGAGATGCTGCCTCCTGATAATTTTGTATACACGAATCATCACCTAAGGCACAGTGGGAATTCACAGGGTAGTGGAACAAACACGAGAACACAGGCTTAATTCCAAATATTCTAGGAAGAATTGAGCAGATTGATTCCCTCTTTACACCCCTGAGAAATAGAGACAACATGTGTCACAGTATTCCATGCCGCCAAGTACAGGGAAAATATTTTAGAAACTTTTATTCTAGAAATTGTCATAATTATAATTTTCAGTCTTTTTGCTATGTTTTATGTATAGATCAGAGTAATATCACTATTGGCCAGCCACAGTGGTCTAGTGGTTAAGATTCAGGGCTCTCACCACCGCGGCCCAGGTTTGTTTCCCAGTCAGGGAACCACACGACCTGTCTGTGGGTTGTCATACTGTGGAGGCTGCATGTTGCTGTGATCTGAAAGCCATACCACTGGTATTTCACATACCAGAAGAGTCACCCGTGGTGGACCATGGTGGACAGACAGCGGAGTCTTCCAGACTAGGACAGACTAGCAAGAAGGACCTGACCACCCACTTCTGAAAAAAATTGGTCACGAAAACCCTATGGGTTTTGGCTAGTTAAGAGTGATTAAAGAGATTATTTATAATAAAATGTCATTTGTTGCAATTTCACTACCCAACTTGACTCATTTCTCTTGAATGTTTTATTCCATGATTCATGAAATTTCTTTGAGAGTTTTGCTATAATTACAAAATCTAAAGAGCACATTAAACTGAGCCAAACATTCTATACCACCATTAATATTAATTCCAAAATAACACTTTCACTTTATTTCAAGATTCTTTCATAATTTTAAATAGTCCCAAATAAATGTTCCTAGTGGTAGAAATTTAGGGCAAAATAACTGCTCTCAGGATATCCTTATTTATTTCTGAGAAAAATTTTGTTTGAGTCAATACAAGACATTCATAAAGTCCATGTTTGTTTAAAGAAGACTCTATCAATGTAAAAATAGTTAAGATTATCATTATCATATTTTACTTAATACTAACTTTACAATATTTAAAATAAAATTAGTTATCTATATCTTCCACTCATCAATCTATAGTATATTTCTATTTTAATATTTACACTGCATCTTCCCTATTCCCCTTAATTTTTACTTCAGTGAAATATTCTCTACCATGTTTTCATCCATTTCTATGTACAATAAATCTATCTATGAACATGTGAAATAGAACATGTATGTTACTATTATATCCCTTTTTATTTATATACATATATACAAATATGAAATACTATATATATGTATATACATTACTATTATATCTTTTACTTATATACATTTTCTGAAAGAAAGTATATCATCTGTATCAGTTAGCTATTGCCATGTAAGAAAATCGCTTCAAAACTCACATTTCTACAAGTTGGCTGGGCTGATTTTCCTATCTTTACTGGGCTCATACATGTATCTTTGGGTTGATACAGTTCTGCTAATCTCTACTCAGCTTTCTGACATGTTTGAGAGCAGGTTGACTGAGATCTGCTTTAGAGTGGCTTCATCAGAAGAACTTGGATGACTCGACTCTCTTCCACGTGGTCGCTCATCATCCCGGAGGCTATCTTAGGCTTCTCCACTTGGCGGTGGCAGTCTTCTCAGGGAGAGAGTAGAAACATGAGGGTGCTCTTGAGGCCTAGGTTTGAAAATCACAGGTCACTTTCACCAGTCTGTTTGCCAGAATCGTTCACAAGACCAGCCAAGATTCAAGAGGTCAGGAAGTAGATTCTGCTTCTTGAGAGGAGGAGCAGTAAAATCATACTACTTTTGAAGAATTGGATGAAGAATGGGGTGAAAAAATCAGAGCCATTTTGTAATTAATTTACCACGTTGTCCATTAATATATGCCAAATGATTCTCTTCTATTCACAATTGTACGCTAGCACCTGGAAGACTGCCTGGAACCTATGAGACACTCAAATATTTGCTAGACAAATGAATGTAAAACTCCACTCCACTAGGAGGACTACTACTTCCGTGGAAGAGGTATTGACTGCCTTATCAATGTTTATTCCAGCAGGCTTCTAGTATGCTTTTCTAGAATGCAGAGATTTGAAAGCTAACCCCTTTATTTCACAGACATCTTTGTAGTTAGTTTCCTGATGCAGGCTGGGTTTTTTAAAACAAACATTTCAGAGAGACTTGGGAGAAGAAAATGAATTATGTGAGTCAGTACCCACTCTAGGAGATCATTCCTCTTTCAGGAACAATGATGAATGTTCCTTTTTTTTTTTTTTTCCTGGGGCATACCTGGAAGTTTCTAGTGTCGGTTCTTACGATCATATTAAAACAATAGCATTTAAGTTTCCACATTTTATTCTCTAGTTTCTACCCCTTGCTTTATTTCCTTTCAAACAAAATTTTTAAAAAAATTTATGAAAAATAAATTTTGCTTAACAGGTTGAAAGTGGATTCTGGAGGGAAAAATCAGGATGGAGGTCAGGTGGGGCAAGGCACCCCTAGATTTGTTATAAACCTTGTAGGACTGTGTGACATTATAAAGCATGTACATCTATAAATTGGATTATTAAAAATAAATTTTTAAAGCCCCTCTCCCAAAAATAAATAAATAAATTTTAAGTGCCTGTGCCAGCAAGTCATTCACTTTTATATTTTACATTTTTAAAGCCATTAAAAATACATTCTAGACTTTTTTCTGATTATTTGTTCCAAAATGAATCACCAGGAGTGGGTAGCAATTACTGAGCATTGAGAGGTTCTATGTAACATCCGAGATACAAGCTTCAAGAAGACAGAATGTCACCTAATTAGTCACATCAGGTCTAACTGGGACCTCCCCCATGCTCTTCAAGAGACAGTTACCAACAACATACGTGTTCACAAATACGAAAGTACTAACGGTTGTGAAGCCTCTTAAATTTGAATTTCCAATGAAGAGTTTTAATTTTCCATCAGAATATGTTGTTCATATCACTATGTTAGTTGAGATTCTCGAACCCAAATTCAAAAAGCCCTGCATTTGAGCCGTTAGGCTTAAGAATGCTTACACAGTGTTGAATCCATAGAATGTGTTGAGGTAAACTTGATGACTGCATGCAGAGTTTTTTTCAAAGGAGAGAGCTCAGTCCTAATCCCACCTAAAAGGAAAAGTAGAATAGAGATTATCTATAGGAATGAACAGTAATTCATGAGAGGCATGGTTTATTAAAAATGTATATTCTCTGCCTCTTGAAAAATTAGCTTAGAAAGAAAAAGCTTAATTTCCTTAATTAATGTATTATTCGTCTAATATTTCTCCAACTGTCAAACTGAAAAAAAGTCTGCCTGAATTGCCATTGTTAAAAATGAAAAATAAAAATCTAATATCTCTGGTTTTTAAATAGATAAGTTACGATTCAGCTCTTTTCTCCTAACAGCAAAATTTAGGACAAAAATCAAATTTAATTTAAAATTAATGTTATGTTTAAATATTGATTAATATTTTAATGGACAAATGCCCATTAAGAAGCCAAAAATTTGCTGTAATATTTCTGTATCTAGTTTTTTATCTTTTATATAAACTAACGTGGAGATTTAAAGGTAAATTAGTTCTTGGTGTAAGTAAGCTTTCTAAAAGCAAAGAGGTTAATTTTCAAATATTTATAGCTCTAAGACTACTACACTCTGAAAATATATCAGGTGAAAATTTTAAGAGTAACAGTAAATTATTGATGTGAAAGGAGTAGAATCTTTGCACTTTTGGGGCCAAATTGCTGCAGAGCGAGTTTTACAATAGTGCAGAGTAAAAAACTAAGATACAGTTTTGTCCGAGGACAAAAACAATCTATTGGCAGGACTAGGCCTCAATCTTTGATTCATTCCTCAGCATTCACCTGAAATTGTTTGTATAGAAAAAAACTAAAGAATTTAAAAGTTATTAGTTTTTAATAGCGTTAGTTGAGTGTCATTGTATATGAATCATAAATTAGCAGTTATAGGTATAAACAGCATTGCCTCCCTATAAGTGACTTAATTTCAAAGGATAACCTTAACCATATGAGCAAAGTTAACATCACTGGGGGCTGGCCTGGTGACATGGTCGTCCAGTTCTCGCACTCTGCTTCAGCAGTCCAGGGTTAGTGGGTTAGTATCCTGGGCGCGGACCTATACACCGCTCATCAAGCCGTGCTGTGGCAGTGTCCCACGTATAAAATTGAGAAAGACTGGCACAGATGTTAGCTCAGGGCCAATCTTCCCAACCAAAAAAAAAAAAAAAAAGCATCACCGAAATTAGGACAACCTAATGTGATGCACTGAAAAAGATACATTACTTCTGTGGTAATCTTGTCAAAAATGCATCTTGAATCTAATCATGAGGAAACATTAAACAAACCCAAATAAAGGGACATTCAACAAAATAACTGGTCTGGACTCTTTCAGAATGTCAAGATCATGAAAGACTGAGAAATGTTCCAGATTCAAAGAGACTCAAGAGACATGACGACTAAAAGCAATAAGTGATCATGGATTAGATCTGAAACAGAGGGAAAAAAACGGTAATAAAGGACATTATTGAGAAAATTGGCAAAATTTTATTTTAAGCTATGGATTAGATAATAGTATTGTATCATATCCATATCAGTTATATAACAGATTCCTGATTTTCATAATTATGGTTGTATAAAAAAATATCCTTGTTCTTAGAATACACGTGGAAGTATGTAGAGGTAAATTACCAGGATATCTACAACTTACTCGCAATGGTTAAAAAAATTATTATAGAAAAATATAGGCAAATGTTAACAATTTATGCACCTGAGTAAATGGTGTACAGGAATCTTTTTTATTATTTTTTCATTCTTTTGGTGAGTTAAATTTTTGCTAATAAATTACCAAAAAAGTATATTATTGTATCCATAAATTGTGTTAATTTTAGATAAATATGGAAATTTATCTTATTTACATATTGATATATGCTTCAGGATCCCTATAAATATCTTTCCTCAGGGATAAAGTCTTTATATCTCTGTGTGGTAAGTAAACATAGATCCATTTCTACTTTAGAATGCTCAAAGCTACAGAATATTTGTGACATAAGAGAAAAATAATAATGATTGTTCTTGTAAATTCAAGGTAGACCGTATTCTTCAGCTCTCTAAAGGATATAACTCAAAACTAAGGTCTTAAAATAAATTGTTGTTAACTTCTTAACCAGACTAAAGGTGATATTGATCAGAGCCTACAAATTATATCATCTTGGTTAGAGCTCCACTCAGTGGCTTTATTTAGAATTTCACATGGCATGTATATATATGTATGGTCCCACAAAAGCTTAACTATTCAAATAAAGTAGGAAGACTTCTTTCAATACTCTGAAAGGTATTGAAGTGCAACTACTTAGGCGTCTTTTGTATATCCAAAAAATACTAAAACAAAGCTATTTAGAATAGCCTGAAGTATACAGATTCTTCCAGTTGACCCATCATGACCACAGTCTTTTCACATCAGAGATATAAAAACAAAGCTTTTCTTTTTTAAGGATAGAACTGTCATTGAAAGAGCAGAGCTGGACTATAAAAGCTAATGGATAAATATAGTAGTACATTATAACTTACATTTCTTTCCCGTGCTTTTACAGGAAATATGTATTTGAGGCACTGAAGTGAAAGTATAGCTCATAACAACATTTTTTTTTCTCTTACTTCAGTACTTGATGTGAAACTAAATTTCTTATGTGTTAGCCATTCAAAAACACACAAGATAACAATTCCAATAAAAATGTATGGAAAGATACTGAGTGTATGTTTTGAATAGACAAATGTTATGTTTGAGTCAGACAGATTTTGCCTATTTGGTCTATAAGTCAGAAGGAGGATGAATCAGAAAAAGAAATAAAAAGATGATAGAACACATAGGATTTAAAATTTTCTCCTTTGGTAGTAGATATTGTGTGTGTATGTGTGTGTGATGGTGGGGAGATCGGCTCAAGACTCCTTTCTTCTCCAGGGAACAGCCCTCCCCTTCTTAGGGGGAATTACTGAAAACCCAGCTTCCAGATGTGTTTCAAATGAAAGATGGCATTGTCCTGCTTTCCTGGCCACAGTGAACAGTAGCCATTTGATCCAGTGTGATAGACAGCCTCCAAGTTGTCCCAAATGACTTCCACCTCCTGGTTTCCACAGCCTAACACATTATACCAGAGTTGGTCAGCATTACCAATAGAACATGCCCAAGTGATTGTATGCTACTTCCAAGATTAGGTCATAAAAGTCATTCTGGTTCTCATCTCGGTCCCTCTTCTCTCCTCTCCTCCCTTTTCCTCTCCTCTCCTTTTTCTCTCTGTCTTTCTTTTCCTCTCATGCTTAGCTCAAGCAGAAGTCAGCTGCCATGTTGTGAGCAGCCCTATGACAAGGCCATGTGGTCAGAAACAGAAGATTTATTTTTGCAATGTCATTCTTGTGTGCCACCTTCATTGTACCTGTCTGAAGCATACTCTCATTTTCTTTGCCTAATGAAATTAACACCTGTTGAAATTCTACTCATTTTTTCCATGCTCAGATCAAATGTCACCTTCACATTGAAGCCTATTTAACTCTGTGGCTGTAAACGGCCTAAGAATAGTTCTAATCTTTTTGATATTCTTGTTGCTACAGTGGACTTGCGGCAGGACTGGGATATTATTTGATCATTCTGTTACCCTTCACACCACCTTCAGACGCCAAATGGAACCTAAAAGGGGAAGGGAGGTAATAAAAGGGAGTGTTATTAAGCTGTTTACACATTCCCTATTTTTATTTCACCTTTTTATCTATTCACACTAACAAATATATTTAAGTGTATTTCAATGCATAAACCTACTAATATAGTTATTTTGACAAAACTAACTAGTTATTTGGCCAAAACTAAGTAAAATGAAGTCTTCTTCACAATGTCATTTCTGGGCCCTGGGTACATGCTACCAGCCTGATTGGAAATTCCTTTCCATCTTCACCTGCAGAAATCACATATGTTGAAACCTTTCTCTTTTCCAGCCTTAGATTAAGTGCCACCTACACTGTAGAGTCCCCTGCATCCATAAAAATGGGATAGATTACTTTATTTCAAGTTTGAATTTTTGTTTTGTGTCATAATGAGTTGTATACCTATTTTTACAATTACTTTTATTTGTCTACTTTTCAATTTATAGTTTGGCATTTACTATCTAAATTAAGAAAGTAAAATTTCTATTATTTATGTTCAACTTTAACTTGCACATGATGAAACAAGCTTAAAAGAATTTTTTTATTAAGAAAAGATAAACTGGAGTGACGTCAGCATCATGGCGGAGTGAGCTTTCCTGTGAACTCTTCCCCCGATAAGATACAACAAAAGGAACAGTCACAGACCAACAACGGAATCCCAGACAGTGAAAAGCTAGAGCGGAGGGATCCACACTGCCACACATCTGAGAGCGGAACGTGCTGGGCCCCCGG